AAAACAGAATGGGAAAGGATATTCTCCCAATACCAATCAGACAAGGGGTTGATACCAAGTATAAGGCACTGGTTGAACTGTGCAAGAAGAAAACATCCAACCCCATCAGAAAATGGGGTCATGAAATTAATAGAAACTTTCTCAAGGAAGAAATATGAATGGCAAAAAGTCACATCAAAAATGCTCTTCATCAATAATCATCAGGGAGCTGCAGATCAAAACAATTATGAGATGCAACCTCACACCACAGAGACTGGCACACATCCAAAAGAATAAAAGAAACCGGTGTTGGTGTGGATGTGGGGAGAAAGGGACCCTCCTACACTACTGGTGGGAATGCAGACTGGTTCAGCCCTTCTGGAAAACAGTATGGATGATTCTCAAAAAAATTAGAAATTGGCTCCCATTTGACCCAGCAAATCCACTCCTGGGAATATATCCCAGAGAGGCAAAAAAGTATAGTGGAAACAACATATGCACTTCTATGTTCATTGCTGCACTAATCACAATAGCCAAAATCTGGAAAAAACCCTAGTGCCTGAGAACAGATGACTGGTTAAAGAAACTTTTGTACATCTACACAATGGAGTACTATGTAGCTGTTAGAAAAGATGAAGTCGTGAAATTTACATACAAGTGGTACTACATGGAAAGTATCATGCTAAGCGAAATGAGTCAGAAAGAGAGGAACAGACATAGAAAGATTGCATTATCTGGGAAATATAAATTAACAATTTTGGAGAATAACACCCAAGCATAGCCAAGTTAAGTACCATGAATTTCACTCCATGGCTTGGAGGCCAGCCACACATGCTGGAGGAGAAGGCAGCTCAGATAGAGAAGGGTGTACCAAAATAAGGGTTTGGGGAGCACCAAATAAAGGGTATTGGGAGGATCCTCCCAGGATGAGAGAGGCATGCTGAAAGTAAATTATAGACCAAACATGATGGCCACTCAATGCCTCTTTTGCAAACCACAGCACCCAAAAGGAGAGAGAGAACAAAAGGGAATACCCTGCCACAGGGGTAGAGTGAAATGGGGGGGCGGGGGGTGAGAGGCATTCTAGGAGCATTGGAGGTGGGGAATGGGCACTGGTGGAGGGATAGGTACTCAATCATTGCATAACTGAAACCCAAGCACAAAAATCTGTAAATCTACAACTGTACCTCATGGTGTTTCACTAATACAAAAATAAATTAAAAAGTAAGCTTCCTGTAAATTTAAATAAAGTATTCTATAAACAAAAGATGAAGTATATAAAAATTAGAATTATCTGAATTACATTTGGAGATGTGAATGGAATATGAAAAATTATCCTTATAACTTATGGATATCTTCTACAAAGGTATAGTATTAAAATAATTTAAAAATAACATTTTCAAAGAAACAAAGCCAAATTAAATGAAAAAAAAATTATAGATAATAATAATTTAAAATTTAATGAAATATAAATTAGTGTGATGTTAGACATATGAGATATTTTATGAAGTATGTTGAAACCTCTTTAAAACTTACTTCTAATGTATGTGGCATATTTAGAACTACTATATTGAAGATAGTACCACCAATATCTGCACCAGTGGCGGCTCCATCAAGGCCACGCCCTAGGCTTCAAGGCTGACCGAAGCAGACCTCCTACTCATCATGGCATAGTGTCCTGGGGGTTTTCCAGGGCAGGCCCTGTACTCGAGGCGCTCCCGTCCCCCTCTCACACTTCACCGACTGCCAGTGATGGCCAGGTATGGAGTCCGACACTCCAGTGCCATCCATTTTCAGAGCTAGTTGATTTGGCAGGTCCAACTACCTCCACCACCTTTACTACCCAGCCAACGCCATGCTCCAGGCCAATTTCTGGACACTCAGGCCGTGAAGCCCCACAGAACCAGGTAAGCAGAACTTTGTGACCTTGGAATCCAGGCTCAATGGGACCTGGAAACAGAGATCCTCTGCTTGCTCTCACCAATCTCCAGCGACCCAGGGATCATATCCCGAAGCCTCACCGTGCCCTTCCCTGCCTGCTCCCACCAATCTCCAGTGACCCAGGGATCAATCCCAGAAGCCCACCATACTTTTACAAGATAAATACCTCATCGGCAGACCTCCACAACATCATAATACACTTAATACACATCTTCCATTATTACTACACCATATTTGATGGGGTACAAATATGGTTTGAACCATGGGAACACCTGAAAGGGTGATTAGAACCTAAAAACCACTATCCCTGCAGAGAGCCTGGCAAGCTACTGAGAGCACTTTGCCCACAAGGCAGAGCCTGGCAAGCTATCCGTTGCATATTCGATATGTCAAAAACAGTAAATACAATGTGTCTCATTCCCCTGGCCCTGAAATAGCCACCAATATGGCAACCTTAAAATGGATGATAAAGAAGAAGCTGATAAAATCTCAAGGCCAAACTAGTCTGCCAAAAAGAAAAAGGACTAAAATGACTGTCTTTATTTTTAATGCATGTATGCTGGCATCGAATACATCCATTAAGGACCTGATGGTGCAAGCACGAAAGATCAAGTGCAACATCATTGTTTGACTCAGACAAGAAGGCATCAACCACATCACAACATTTTCAACACTGGAAAAGAAATGTTCCTTGGAACATGTGACAAAAGATGAATCAGGGGTTTCAGTGTCCTTGTCAACACGAACTTGGCCATGAGCATTGATTCATTTGAATAACTAACAACCCAAATCGGACAATTACACTCGAATAGATGTGGTTCACTGATAGCAGTTTCTATCTTCCTTGTCTACGCACCAACATCCAATTATGATGAAGAAGAAATTGAGAAGTTCTACATGGAGCTGGAGAAGTTCTTTAAAGAAGACCAAACTTTCTACAGATCATTTTTAGTGATTTTAATGCCAAGATAGGACCAAGAAGATCAGCTGAAGAACTCCACATAGGGACCCATGGCCTAGAATGGAACGAACAGGGTGAAAGACTGTCTGAGTTTATCATGTGGACCAAGACCATCCATGGTAACTCACAGTTCCAGAAGACTGACTCTAAACATTGCACATGTGTCTCCAGGTGGATGGTTCCACAATGACAATGACCGCATCATATTCAATCGACGGTTTTGCCTGACACATGTCACCATTGTCCCAAAATTCCAAATGGGATCGGACCACCATCTCCTTCGTGCAAGATTCCACTTCACTGAGAGGGGAGAAAGGGCTGCAAAGTTTAAGAAGAGAAGTCCTAGAACCACTACCAATTGGGAGCTCTTTGGCACTATTGGAGCAACATGGGAAGATGCAATTGTTGACAACATTGTCGAAGAATACGATTGATTGGTTCAGCACCTCCATGATTGTTCGAGGAAGGCTGAGAGAGAGAGATAGCCACAAAAAGTCACCTGTCTTTGAAAACTCTAGAGCTCATTTTCCAATGAGGTTTGGCACAAGTCTCAGGCAAGACCAACATTCTCCCTAAAGAGCAGCAGGCCCAGACAAGATCAGACCTGAGTACCTTAAGAACCTACCATCAGTACTCATCAATACACCGGTTCTGCTCTTCACACACTACCTGTCTGAATGCAAGGTTCCATCCCAGTGGAAAACCAGTAGGACTGTAATACTATACAAGAAAGGAGACATTCATGACATTGGCAACTATTGCCCAATCTGCCTATTTTCTGTCATCTACAAGCTGTTCACTAGAGTCATCCTGAATAGGATTGGCAGAACACTAGATGAAGGACAACCATGCGAGCAAGCCAGATTCTGAAAAGGATTCAGCACTATCGACCATATCCACACGATAACCAAGCACACTGAGGTTTCTCAGGAGTTCAAGATGCCACTCTGTCTAACGTTCATTGATTTAAAGGCCTTTGATTCTGTTGAGCCTGAAGTGGTCATCGAAGCTATAGCCAAACAGGACATTCAAACTCAAAACCTCAGGATCCTCCGTGAGCTGTATTACAGATTTACTACCAGGATCTCACCATTCTACAAGGAAGTGATCATCCATGTCAAGAGAGGGGTTTCGCAGGGCGATACCATTTTACCAAAATTCTTGGGTGTCACCGTCGAGAACATCATGCAATTACTGGAATGGGAAGGAATGGGAGTGAAGATAGATGGTTGGCAACTACACCGCCTCTGCTCTGCTGATGACATCATTCTATTAACAACAATCAGCACAAATGCTGGCCAACTTTGACTGTGAGTCTGAAAAGGTCGAACTACAGGTGAATCTCACGAAGACAATGTTTATCAGAAACGAACTTGTTCCTGATGTTCCATTCAGTCTGAACAAAATGAATATCTCTGAATGCAACAGTTATATGTATGTAGGTCAAGGACTCAACATGATGAATGACCTGGCACCTGAGTTTCACAGGAGGAAGGGAGTGGCTTGAAGAGCGTCGAAGAAATAGCTAAGAGGATGAAGAGCCTCTGACTTCAGGCACATCTCTTTGATTTCTCTGTTCTTCCTGCATTAATATATGGCTCAAATACCTAGGCTCTATGAAAACAGGATGAGAACACTATTTATTTATTAATATTGAACACTTAACAAATTTGTGTCATCTCCTAAATAGGAATCAAAAGAGCTATGCTTGTAGTATCATGCTTTTCTCAAGTGAGAGAAAGAATACAGAGTTCCAATTTCCGTTGATGATCAAGAATCAGGGATGCTGTCTCTTTTCCCAAGGTGTTGAAAATCAGACAGGCTGGACATATAATGTGATTTGGAAATGACCGCTGGACTAGAGCCCTTACTGACTGGATTCCACAGAATGTCAAGAGATCATGTGGCCTCCCACCTACGAGATGGTCAAATTTCTTTGTCAATACCCTGAAGGATCGGTTTGAGGCACTTCATGTTCCTGGAGTGAGCAAATACCATTGACTACACTAGCACACGACAGGTATGAATGGAGATGTTACTGGTGCCCGCTCGAGCAAATTCATGAGTAACGGGATGTCATGTGATCAAGTTATATTGAAGATATTTAAAATAAAAAATAGTGTTTGATTCAGTAGCACATTTACTAAAATTTGAATGATACAGAGTAGATTAGCATGACCCTTGGGAAAAGACAACACAAATTTGTTAAGTGTTCAATATTAAAAAATAAATAAAAATAAAATAAAATGAAAAATCATCAATAGAATAATGAGCGATGGATATAATCAGGTATTTGTAGACCAAAAATTATAGTTAATAATAAGCTTTTAAAAAACTAAAACACATAAAGAAATTTGATAATTGCATTATCAATTTTATTACATATTTTAACCATAAATTTGATAAATAATTAAAATACCTACAATACTGACTAGTAAGTGCATTAATTTTGTTCACTTGTTAAACTCTTCCAAAACATGTCATCTAGGTGATTGTATTGTAGGCATTATTAATGAATGTCCCTAAATAATCCAGTTTACACTTGGATGGTCACAACTGTTGTAAAATGTATTCTCTGTCCCACGTAACATGCGGGCTATCAATATTTTACTGTTCATAACAAAATCAGTAATTAACTTGCCTTAGTTAAATACATTCATATATATATATACATTTTTGATAACTGATTACTAACACTTTTGCAGTTTTTTTGTTTTCTCTGAGTGGATCATTCAGTGAGATAGGTGATAAGAAATGTGTGACTATGTTACTTGGAGTGATCAGGAACAGTCCAGTTGAACTGAAACTTATTCGACCAGGCCATAAATTCTCTGGTTAGGAGCGTTACAAATGATAGGATTACTTAGGAGCCTTGGTTGGTCAAGGTGGAGACTGAAAATAGGAATACACCCCGAGAGCATTAGACTACTATCTGGTGCTAAATACTGAGTCCAGATTCTGGGAGCAGAAGTTAATTCAGTTTTTTTAAGAGGAACCTATCCTTCAGTTAGGGGTTCTATTGAAATTGAACTTAATTGAATATTGCACGAGAGCATGGATTAGTTTCATGCCAGCTTCTGCCAACCAAGTGATTCCAAAAGTTGTAGCTGTGATAAAACATTATTTCTGGGTACATATGTAAGGGAAATTCATGATGAGTTTGATGATTGAATCAATAAGGCTGAATAAGAAAGGGAAAAGATTGGTGAGTATACCTTCTTCAACTTGGGACATGCAACATTAAATCCCTGGAGGAAGGTTAAAGTCTCTCTTCTTTAACTAGGATATACATTTTCAGCTGCCCTAGAACTTTGGATTTCCTGTTTATTGGTTCTTCAGACTTAGAATGAATTATAAGTTTAGTTCATTGGCTCTCAATATTATCTGTAACATCATTGCATGTCTGAGTATCCTGAACAGTTATTATATAATAAGCCACTTCTCTATCTATCGTCTATACCCTATCAATCTATCACCTAGATGTTCAATGTTTCCGAGAGTTTTTGTTTTTCAGAGGAACACTGACAATACTAAGATAACTATTCATTACAAAACATTTAGTTTTCATAGATAAGAGTTCTATTCATTCACACAGTGAATACATTACAATATATATGAACATTACCTAACAAATTTATAGTTACCAATGCTATTCAGGATTTGAGAAACATGCTGATAAGCTACTGCCAGCATAAAAGAAACTATGGAAAATTAAATTATTGACTTGAAAACAAATCCTCAGTAATGTAATATATTTTGGTATAGGTTACTGTCCCAAATCATAAAGTGACTCAATATTTTAGTTATGCATATATATGTATATGGTATTTAGCTATAATTGACCAATTTTAAGCATTGTGAAATATATTTTGCTTAATATTAAACAGTGCAAGATTGCTAAAATAATATTTAATAATATAGAAAATATTAAAATATTGTATAGTAAAGCATACCCAAAACTAGGACTGGATGAAACAAAACATAGTTTAATGTACGTGTCCTGCATATAATCAACCCTAGTTCAACTCCTAGCACTGAGTGTAGTTCCTGAGTGCCACCAGTAATAAGCCCTGAGTACAGCAAGGTGAGGCAAAGCCTCCAAACCCTCTAAAACATGTTACAAATCACTGCAATCATTTAATATGTAGGATCCAAATATAGAATATGAGATACTTATGTGAAATGAAATATTAGTTTATAGTTATAACTAGTTTTCATAGTTATATGTTAAAATCAAGAACACAGTATGATGTTAGCCAAATATCTCCAGAAGAAAGATTTTATTTATCTTCACCTTCCATATAAATTGCTCTAGATTCCTCAAGAGGACTCTGGACACTACAGAGAGTCTGCTATTAAAATGGTAATAAATTCATGAGTATCAGATGTTTTCAGAGAGAACATCAAATTTAGAAATGCCTAATTAATAACTAAATAGAAGAATACAGTTTTCAAAAGAGACTGGATGTGAACATTTCAGAAATTGGAGTGAACAACAGAGATTTCAGTACCAAGAAAGCAATGATAATAACAAAAAGGTGTGAAAATGATTTGCTATTTAGCAGGGTCAAGTACTTCAGAAAAAATAATTAACATGGGAACTCAGGAGGCCAATGGGTTTAGCAATTAGGAAGTCATTTGTGGCATTTAATCTTGCAAGTCACCATGTAAGTCAGCTAATGAAGACAAACTGTCCAGTGCCCCAAGGGTATCATAATGTAAATTCTACATGAATGATATTGTCCACAGGGTAACACATTATGATGAATAGTATTGTGATTCTCACAATACCAGTGGGAATGTTCATTGCAACCTTTTAAATACCAACAACACAAATTAGTACTCTACAGCAGACATGAAAGAAATAAAGGTTCACTACTTACATAACTGTCAATTTTTATATCACCCTGGAGGGTTATTGATGTGAAGCAAAGTGCATTTTTAAATATATAGTTAGGCTTTACCAGAAATACAAAATCTATTATAGTGGGGTTATCTGTGTATAAAATATGGAAGTGTTCTATAATATGCATACTAGTTACTGTTCTATAGTTTTAATGACTGCTGTTCCCCTAATTTACTATATTATTTATAAAGAATGATAATGAGGCCGGAGAGATAGTACAGTGTTAAGGTGCTTGTCTTGCATTCAGGCGACTCGTATATTATCCTGGCACCACATAAGGTCGCCTAAGAATCACAAGAGCACAGAGCCAGGATTAAGCCCTGAGTACTGCTGAGTACAATCCCATCAAAGTAAAGAGGAAAGGAAGAAGAGCATGCTAATTGCCAAGTTACAAAGATAACTTTAAGAGAGATGATCATTTTTGTTTGGTTTGGTTTGATTTTTTTGAGCCACAACACCACAGTGATGAGGGATTACCTTTGTTTTATGTGCCCAGGAATCACTACCAGTGGGACTCATATAGTGCTGGAGATTAAACTTGGGTTGACCACATGCAAACAATTGCCCAGCTGAATCCATGGTAATATCTCCATTCGTTGTTTGAGGTCCATCTGGTGATGCTAATGGATTAGTCCTGGTTCTACACTCAGGACATACTTCCAGCTCAGGAATCATATGGAACGCCAGGGATGGAACCCAACTTGCCAGCATGCAAGGCAACCTCCTTAACCACTGGACAGTCTTTTTCAAGAGTGAAAAATACAGTTCTATATGATCAAGCACTTAAAATGATTTTTATGAAAGCACATTTTTATTTTATAAGTGTAAATATTTAGACCAAACAATAATAGAGTGCATGTGGCACTTGCCATGCACTTGGCTGACCTGAGTTCAATCTCCGACATAGCATATAGACCTTTGGGAAATGCCAGAAGTAATCTTGAGTAGAGGGTCAGCAAAAAAAAAAAAATGGAAAACCAGGAACACAGTGTGATATGACCCAAATGTTCCCAATTACATTACATTTTAAAATCATAACCTTAAAGTTAGACTCACGGTATATAATTTTAAATTGTCAGTACAAGATAAATTTGGTGAAACTACTTATTGTGTCTGTGTGTGTGTGTGTTGTTGTTGCTATGCATTTAGAGGAGCTAAATATCTGGGGGGTGCGTGGTTGGGCCACACCTGACCATACATAGTGTTTATTCCTTGCCCTGCAATTAAGAATTATTAAGGGGGCCATATGAGATGCCAGGGATGGAACCTGGGTTGCTACCTACAAGGCAAATGCCTTACCACTTTGGCCCCTTTTAACCAGTGTTTTATTCAAGGCTATACATTGATATTACATATTTTACTAGACAGGTGATAGTGAGTAATTATGAGAAAGCCGTAATAGATGACAGGCAAAACAATGAGTATAGCTATGATTGCAGCTGTATTCTAACATCATTTAATTTATAAATATAGGCACAAATGGCAGATGTGTCCTGTGAGGCTTAAGTTTGCTAACACAAAAATATTTAGTGGTTATTTATTTATTTTTTTGTGTATTGTAATACCCACTGGTGCCCAGGGTCTGCTCCTGGCTTGATGTTTGGGGTTTCTAACTATCAGTTCTTAGGGGAACCTGCAGTATTGAAATTGTATTCAGGCCTTCCACATAGAGAGGATGAGCCCTTTGGGCCTTCTCTCCAGCTTTACAGTGGTTCATTTTTGACAGTCATTATTTGGAACAAGAATCACTCAAGTTACTAAGTATTGCTGAGGGTTTCATAGCATAAATATAGTCAGTGGTGTATAATTTTCAAATTACAAAATGTGTCAGCAAATATCAAATTAAATAATTTATAGCACTAATCACAATATTGATATATAACACAAAATACATTAAAATGATAAAAGTGTGAGACTGATGTCTTCAGTTAGGAGAATAATATGAATTTTTAGGAAACATTAATTTTTGCTTTGAATAAAAATCCTTCAAAATATTATACACGGAAATGAAAGAAATGAATTTTACAAATGAAAGTGCAAATTAAATAAATAGTCAAAATATTAGATAACAAATAAAGTAAATTGGAGATTTGTGGCAGGTCAAATCAAAATAAGTAAAGGAATATTTTCATAATGGAGAAAAATAGTACTAAATAATCTCTGAAAAAATATTGCATGCCAGAGAATGATATCAGGGTATCTATGAAGAACCAGTTCTGTGGAACTACTGGAGCATTAACACAAAGATAGAGAAGAACTAAATGGTACACAGTCTCTTCAAGTGATTTCACTGGGAACATTCCAGAAGAAAGTCATAA